TTAAAACACAAGAAGGGAAGAAGAAAAAAAAAGAAACTACAAGCAGGTAGGAACAACACAAAAGAAACTGTATTTAGATAAAAAGCATTACAACAAACTTCTCCCCCTTTTGACAGCACAAAAAGGAGGAGCACTAAAAGCTCAAAAGCAGAAAAAAAGAAAACTACAATGCATACATAGACAATCTAGTCAGACGGGTCCTGATCAGGTGGGTGGAGGTGGATTTGGCTGAAAGTATTGAAATAAAGTGTCGAAGCGTGATCAATTTATCTCCCAAAAAAGGCTCCAAAAACCTCTGAATTCAAAATTAGCCGTTACTGTTCGTACAGTACGATCTGGTATCGTACAGTACGATCTTCATAAACAGACGTCGTCCTGGTACGAAGATGTATGAACAGTTCAAAATTCATTCGTACTGTACGATACAATATCGTACGGTACGATTCAACCACATACTATTCGTACAGGACGATGGTCTGGACGATCAGATGTCGTCTCTGTTCATCGTATGGTACGATTACTATCGTACCGTACGATGTGATCAAAAACAAAGAGATCGTCCAGGATGATATTCGGGATGATCAAACTTCATCTCTATTCATCGTATGGTACGATACAATTCGTACAGTACAATGTTCAAAATTTAATTAGGCCTGGATTTCATGCACTAATTACGGGTTAATTTAAGTAAGTATTAAAAATAGATCATACAGTACGAACATGTTCGTACAGTACGAACGGCGCAAAATCAATTACTCAAATTAAACTACGACTAGGGTTTTGGATCTGAACATATCGTACATTACGAATACATTCGTACAGTACGATCTATTCACAGAATCTTCTACATAGCTTGGATCATATGTTACGAATTAAAATCATACAGTACGATCTCCAGAGAAGAATTTCTATGACATTTTGTATTTAAAAACAAACTCTTCCCCTGTGTGTGTGCATGGTTGCTCTTACTCTTATACATTTTGTGGCCAGACTCAATAAAGTAAAAATAAAATAAATCAAAAAATATAATGTTTGACTCATACTCCTAATCTACCCGGTCTTGAGTCTTCCTTTCTTTCTGAGTCACTTGTGATCTTCCTGAAATGTTAGTACTCAAGGACAATAGCAAATAAAATAATATTCAATGAAAATTTGTTCCAAAACATTCATTATTTGGCATCATCAAAATCTCAAACTCGGGGTCATGGGTTGCAACAGGTTAATGTGTTTGAATCTGATAAGGTGAAGGATGTAGAGGAAGGTGAAATTGTTACTTCCAACAATGATTTAGCATTAATTGGCTTTGGCGGAGGTGCAGTGGTGCAACCAGTGGCTTTTTAGAAGAAATCTAAGGATTTTCCAGTTAACACCATTTTAATGGGTGGAAGCCATTCGTATGAGAAAAAGACTAAGCTTGTCAAAGAGCTGAAATCCCTTGGTTCAGGTAATATTATTCCGCATAACAGGAAGATGGAAGGTGGAAAAGCTAAGAAGGTTGGGGGACCTTCCCCTAGTAATAAGCAATGACTTCGTTGTTATTTTGGAATTGTAAAGGAGCCAAGAAGGTGGAGGCTGCTCTTTATCTTAAGGAGGTGATCAAGGATCATAATGTTTTATTTGTTGGGCTTTTGGAAACGTAGATTAACTCTTAGGACAATAGCTGCCTTATGAAATTTTTTGGCTCGAATTGTGATTCTTTTGTAGTTCCATCTGTTGGTTTGTCAGGTGGTCTAATGGTGATATGGAGGAATGACTTAGCAGTATTTTTAGTTATTGAAGCTTCTTCACAGATGATTTTGGGAAAGATGGAAGTCCACGGCAAAGGCAGCTGGATTGTGGCTTCGGTGTATGGCAGTGTAGATGCTAACGAAAGGAATAGTCTTTGGGCTGATATTGGGAGACAATGTTCATCTGATCTCCCTATGGTAGTAGGTGGAGACTTCAACTGTGTACTGTCCCAATCGAAAAAAAGAGGAGGGAAAAAGTTTTGCTTAACTCAAGGATCGAAGGACTTTAATAACTTCATGATCATCAATGATCTTCATGAGGTGAGATCGATGGGACCAAGGTTCACTTGGTGTAACAAAAAATCTGGTAATGCCCGGATATTGGAGAAGTTGGATAGATGCTTGATTAATTCCATAGCTTTAAACAACATTAATCTTTCGATAGTTAAACACTTATCTCGTATTGCATCAGATCATTGTCCTTTACTATTAGACATCTACAAACCGGTGGAAAAGGGCAGCAGGGATATTCGTATGAAGAGACCTGGGCGTCTTACCATGGTGTTGTTTCTTTGGTGAAGAGAATTTGGCTTAAAAACTTCTTGGGTGATCCACCGTTGGCTCTCAATTTGAAACTCAAGAGGACTCTGAAAGGTCTCTTTTACTGGAGTAAGGCAAAGTTCATGAATCTGAATCATTTAAGAGATAAATTGAAAAATGAAATTTTGGAAATTCAGCTGGAGGAGGATGAAGGGTGGATCTCTTTTGATAGATTACAGCTTTTGAGGTTTAAAATTAATGAACTTAATGTTACTTTGGCTAGACTCAACACTTGGTGGAGACAAAGGGCTAAAGCAAGATGGATGGATGAAGGTGATTGTAATTCGTCTTTTTTTAATACCTTTACCAATGCCAGAAGAAGAACAACTGGATTAGTCATTTTAAGACTAAGAATGGCATTATTTCGGAAGAAGAAGCATTTATCTAGAAGACCTTCTCAGATTTTTTCAAGTTCAAATGGCAACACAGAAAATGCTCATTAGATGGGTGGCCGAATCCATCTGCTATCATTAGTAATGTTGACATAATTATGCTTGATGCTGAGTTTACTAGGGAGGGGTTACAGGAGGTAGTGGAAAATTTGGAGAGGAGCATTTCACCAGGATTAGACGGGGTGACTTTTTCATTTTTTAAAGACTTTTGGGACGTGGCTAAAGGTGATGTTTGGCTAGCAGTTGATCATTTCATGAAGTCAGGAGTTATGGATCAGTCTTGGAAAGAGACCTTGATAGTTTTGATCCCGAAAACAAAAGTCCCCAAGAACTTGTTCATTTCCATCCTATTAGTTTGTGTATGACTATATATAAAATCATTGCGAAGATGCATAAGATCATTTCGGTGGACCAAACGACTTTTATAAAAGGCCGTCCTTTATCTGATCATGTGCTTTTGGCTCAGGAGGTGTTTAACAAATTCAGGTGGTCCAAGTCTATAAGTGGGATGTTAGCCATTAAGCTTGACATGGAACAAGCTTATGATAGTATGGGATGGCAGACGTTAAGGCAAGCTCTTATTCGTTTCAATTTGCCTAGTAAATTTTTGGAACTTATTTTGCAATGTGTTTTGAATCCCAAATATTGCATTTTGATCAATGGGAAGAAGACTGAATGGATTGAAGGAAAGTGTGGATTTAGGCAAGGCTACCCTTTATCCCCATTTTTATTCATTTTATGCTCCCAAATTTTTTGAGATGCTTTATTGTTAAAAAGAAATGGTTTGGGTATTTCTATCTCTCATTTAGCACCTAGAGTTTCCCACTTACTCTATGCGAATGACATTTTAATCTTCTCGGAGGCTAAGTTGAAAGAGGTTAAGGAGTTAAAGACGATTATTTCCAATTATTTTGCTTGGACGGGACAAAAGGTCAACACTACTAAGTCCATGAGTCTTTTTTGCAAGAACACCAGGAGTACTCAGGAAAAAGGTTGTTTAACAGCTCACTTTCACGGTTGTGAAGGAACTCAGCTATCTCGATGTAAAGATGACCTTGAGGAGAATGAAGGCTTCGGACTTCCAGGTTTTATTGGAAGCAGCGGCTAGCAAACTGAATACTTGGGTCAAAAAGAATATTTCTATTGAAGGTAAACTGGTTTTAATTAAATCAGTATTCTTGTCTCTTCCTCTATTTTTATCCACTTTGTCATTGGTTCCTTTGAGTATTTTAAAGGAATTTGATAAGATGTGTAGAGGGTTCTTATGGAGTAAAAATGATGGTAAAGCTGGCCTGCATTATGCATCTTCGGATCTACTTTGTATACCGAAGAATGAAGGTGGTAGAGGCTTATTTTCAGCAGTTATGATGGTTGGTCCTTTACGTGCCAAATTTGCTTGGATTTTTTACTCAAAGCCAAATACTCTTTTGAATCTTATTCTTAGAGCTAAGTTTGGAGGAGACTTGTGGTCGGGAACAGTGAAGAAAGGTTGTTCTTCAACTTGGAAGATCATCACTATGGGAGCCAACTTTCTAAAAAATATTGTTAGATGGGAAGTATCCAATGGTAATTCAATCAATTGGATGCAAAGCTCCAGGATTTTGGACAGATGTATTGCGACGTGGCCTACATTTGTCAATATTTAGGAAGAATATGATATCTTTCTTAGCTCTTTTATTTGTAATGTCCATTGGAATTAAGATAAATTGAGGGTTGTTTTTGGTGAATAGCTTTTGAACCTTATTTGTGAACTTCCTATCATAAATGACAGGATTTCCGATACATTTGAACTGAAATGTAAATTTACGGGAAAGTCTATTACAGCCTTGGCGTTTGAGGATGCTATGGTTCATATGGAAGAGACTGCTGAGTGGAGTTGGATGAAGAAACTTAAGTTGAAACAAAAAATTGATTTTTTCTGGTGGAGACTTTGTATTGATGCCATTCCCTCTAACTCCTTTCTTGTAAAAAGGAAAATTAACAATTTTTCTGGTTGTATAAGGGGTTGTGGAGAAGATGAAGATAGCAGCCATTTAGTTGGAAAATGTTCGAAGCTTAGGAAGGTTATTGCTCTGCTTAATAGTTGGGGCTTTCTTATTTCCATTTTTAATAGTTTTGATGAATGCTTGGAAGGTCTTCAGAGATATGTGGGGAACAATTCTTTTTTAGCAAATATTTTTTGTACCAAGGTTAGTCTTGTTTGGAGGAGCAGGTGTAAGCTATTACATGGCAAAGTTGAGGATTCAGATAATTACATTGCTGCTAATGCTATATCGTTGGCTGTGGGAAGTAACTTTTTAAATATCCAAATGGAAAACTGGGATGCTAACCAGCTTTGGCTATTTTCTACTTGGCATCCTCCTCCTCCTCCCGGTTGGATTAAAATTCATATAGATGCAGCTCTTATGAGGAATCATTCGGCTGGGATCGGTGGCATTGCCAGAGATGAGAAGGGACATTTTTTAATTGCTTTTGAAAATCATTCTTTACACTGGGATGTATCATATCTGGAATTACTTGCAGTTTTACAGCTGAAGAATGTGTTTCAAAGTTGGATGTTTGAGGCTCAAGGGGTGATCATTGAAGGGGAAAACCTCAATATCATCAAGATGCTTCAAAATGCGGTAAAAAATTGGAAGGTTAGTAGATTAATTGATGACAATTTGGCCTTCCTGCTTGAGTTTAAGCAAATTGTTTTTTCTCATTCAAATAGGGACGGCAACAAATTAGCGGATATTTTTGCTAATTTTGCTCTAATTAGATCTTTTTTGTGGGAATATCTTCATGATGCTTTTATTCCTCCTTCCTTCTTGTATTGCTTGAAGAAGGAATGTGATGCTTTAGGTTTGACTTGATTTGTTGGTTTTTGGTTGTTTTTTTAATGCATTTTAGCATTTCTTTCAAAAAAAAAAAAAAAAACTCCTTGGCAAAATTGGGTTATAACTTATCTATTTTTGTTAAATTCTATGAACATAATCTCCCAAATGAGATTAAAGGTTTGGCTAGATTAGACCACCTGGGTCTTCCCTACATTCATTTTCATTACTTTTTTGGCTTTTGCTATTGTTTCTTCTCTTTGTTGGTTAAGTATGTCATTTGTCTTGTTGGTGATTGTATGGTTCTATTTTGGATTCTTGGTTTTTTTTTCTCGTCTTTGGGTGCTCTTATCTTATGGGCTTTTGCTGCTGAGAATGGAATTTTTGTCTCTCTTTTGCTGGTTATATTCTAGTATTGTGGTTGGTGAAAGAATATAAAAAATTGGAATTCTAATCTTGTTTGTTTAACCCCTTTTTCCTGCTCTCTTTACCCTGGTTGTAGTCTTATGGGGTTATGGCTTTTGTTTCTTCTTACTTGAGTCATGTGGTGTTTTTTATTTATTTCTACCAGATTAAGGCTGGTTTCTATCCTATTTTGATGTATATTAATGGTTGGGCTTTGAGTTGGGATTGCTTGGATATTACTATCATTGGTGGTAGTGTCTTGGGTGTTGTATCTTATGTTAACCATTTTTTATGTCTATTCAAAAGCTGATTTCCTATGTTACTGTTGGGTGGGGATTCCAGGGATTAGATGTGAGTGGCATTTGGGATTTTATCATAATGGGTCTAGTAATGCACTCCTGAGCTATACTCTTACTAATGAATGTAGTATTCTATTTTTTTGACTTTCTGTTCTTATGTTTTGATCACTTGTTGGTTGGTTACCATGGGTTGTAGCAACCGTGGGTTACCTCTCATCTATTTAGAGCTAGAAATGTTGTTTTGTTGGCTTCTCCTATCAATGATTATTTTCTAGTATGAGGTTCGATCCTGGGCCTGTTTGTCCTCTATTTTTTTGGCTTCCTGTACTAATTTTTTTGATAACTTGTTGGCTGATTATCATGGGTTGTAGCAGCCGTGGTTGTATGATGGAAAATTTTTGGTCTTTGCTTGCTAACATTGTGAACTATTATTGCTATTATTTTGGGGACTTCTGTATATTTCTTCCTGATTCCCATGGGTTTTAACTCTTCTATTTTGAGCTGGAAATATTTTTTTGTTGGCATCTCATATCAGGATTTATTTGCTGTCATGAGCCATGGTTGTATGCTGGGGAATTTTTGGTCCTTGCTTGGTACTATTATGAACCATTACTGTTATTATTTTGTGACTTCTATTTATTACTACTTGATTTCTGTCGGTTACTGCTCTCCTGTTATGATCTAGAATTGCTATTTTGTTGACTTCTCCTATCAAGAATTTCTAGACACTAGGATTAGCTTTTTATGGAATTTATTGTTACGACAGGATACTGATCTTATTTTTATGGCAAATTTGAACCCTCTTACTGAGGGTAATCAATATGGTTTTTTGACTCATTGGAACAATATCCTTTGTAGATTCACTTTTTGTGTCATTTCTAATTATATGAAAATGCAAAATCTTTTATTAGTTTGGAGTTGGATCTATGGCCTTAATTATGCTTATTTCTTTATTATCATATCTTTGGCTTTTAATTTTTGTTTAGTGTTCTTGTAAGCCAATTTTGCAGGTTTTGGGAGACTCGTTCTCATTTTGTGCAAGTCCCGATTCTTGTTGGGAAGGTGCTCTTGATTCAGATTTATATTTTCCTTTCCTTTTTTCTTCTTAGAATGTTATTAGGGTGCTTTTTTCTTGTGATTACAAGGGACATATGCCTCTTAGTTTTCTTTTAAATTTTGTTTTAGCACTTTGTAGCATTAGCGAGCTAAAGGTCCCTCTAAGGACTTTGCACTCCTTTTTTGATTAATTAACACATAAGCCCATCGGTGGGTTTTATCTAAAGTAAAAAATAGAGCCATATTTTTAGATAAGGTGTACAATAAAATAGAAGACATTAATTTTGAGGAGACCTTTAACCCTATAATTAGATTAAAAGCCATTAGAGTTTTGTTAGTTTTTGCATGTTTTAGAGGATTCAAATTATATTTGATGGATGTTAAAAGTGCCTTTCTTAATGGGGTTACCAAAGATGATTTTTATGCAGAGTAACCCGATAAATTTGAAAATCCAACCCTTTCCAACAATGTCTAT